TGAGCCTTGGTCTCTCTTCCCTTTCTTTTTAGCCTCTAGCTACTTCTCCAGAGGGTCACAGTTGCTGTGCCAGAGGGTGGGGGTGGAGGTGACGGGGGTGGAGGTGCTGGGGATGGAGCTGCATTGGGTGGAGGGTTAGATGTCTCCAGCGAAGCAGAGCAGTTTGTGAGCTGGGAGGATGAGATATTCTTTTGGTTGGCAGGCGGCCCTGAGGGAGTTGTTGGTGCTTTGGAGGGGTTTGATGATCCTGCTGGGCTCTGAGATGTCTGTGCACATGGTTCTAGCTCAGGCTGGACAGCTCCATTTGCACTCCCGGACAGCTGGTTTTCAGCTCCCTTTTTCTTGTTGGGATGTTTCTTGATAGATAGCAACCTCTCAATGACTTCTTCAACTGTGTTCCCTTGGACTAGAGAAACAAATCAGGGTTAGAAAAAGGGACGGGACCCAAAAGTTGGTTCACGCTATTTGACCCTCACCAAGCAGCAGATCTGCAGCCACAGAGCCCACTCCCTGGTGTCACTTCACAGAACTGCACTTTTTGCTTCCAGGCAATTTCATTCCCATGGTCCTGGCCCACAAGCACTATTCTGAGAATGCCTGCCAGCAAGACTAGTTGGCACCAGCAGCAGCATGCCAATGGGTACAGATTCCCACTGACTCCCACAGTCCAAAGGTCACGGTTTAACCATCAAAGTAAGACCATGAATCCCAAGCCCACTGCTAAGGGTGTCCAGCTCTCACTGACATCTGCATGACTTGGGATTCAGATCAAGATATGACCCTATGCAGGAGGTGTAGCTTTGCCTCAGCTTCTGTTCAGCTCTTAGCAAGTCCCATACATTATTTCCTGCATGTTTGTGAAGGACTTTTGTGGGCAGTGGGTGCGACAAGGGAAAACAAAAGGAGAGTGCAAAGCTGGATGGATATGTCATTCTTACTGTCATTTGCGAGCAAAAGGGCTCTGTTCACTACTGCATCCAAGGACTCCCACAACAGGAGGCTGGAATGATGAGATGGCTCCAAGTGCAGCAGGCTCTGGAGGATGGATAGCAGCTGGATGGAGATTGGAGAGCGGCTCACCTGGAAGAAAACACAGCTTTCCATCACAGCAAGGCTGGTTCCAAGCAAAGTGTGCTAACTTTACCACTGCATGACTTTGTGTCCCACGTGAGGGCCTACTTACTTTATTGAAGAGAGATGAAAAGACCTCGTGATGATCATTCATGTTTATCCCATCACATATCTTTAATAATTCCTCATCATCTTCTATTTTGAACTCCTCAAATGTGTCGCACTGGATAAGCAGATCCTCCTCCTCTATGTCTCTGCAATATTACAGCATTCATTTTCACTGGAGAGCCCTTCAATGAGTTTAAGATGATCATTATTGTTTAAATGGCTTTTATCCCTGTCTCTCAGAATCAGCCAGCTGGTGTTGAAAATACCTGACTCTACCTTATCCATAAAGGCAGAAATGCCATCAGTACATCCTTTCTTGAACTGAATGTCCCTTTTTCTACAGTCAACATGTAGAAACCAATGGGACTTCTCATGGCATAACCTGACTCAGTGTAAGCTTTGTATGGAAGTCTCCTTGGAGCTATAACAGTAGGGTGACATTTCCACCTTTTAGAAACTGGACTACCTTCTCCTTTTTTTTTTTTTTTTTTTTTTTTTTCAGTCAAGACAAATTGAAAGTATCCCAGTGATGTTTCTCTTTGGAAAAACCTCAGTAATTATTACTCGAAATTGGATTTAAAAACCCCCAAACACTCTAAAGTCAACTTCTTCAGCACTGAAGACCACTCAGTGCAAGAACTCTCTCCTTCCTAGTTGGCACTTCTGAAAGATCTTCACTTATTTTTATGGGGTTGGATGGAGTGTTTCCATTCACATGGATAACATCAACTCACATATAATGCATTCTAGAATTGATCATGGGTATTTCAGACAGAACATAATTTTTAAATTAAGAAACTGCAAAGACAGGAATGTCTAGATGTGCATCAGCATTTTTTTCTTAGCTGGATACTTCTGGGACCAACACCAGCAGTGAAGTGGTTTTGAATACAGCAAGCTGCTCAGTGAGCCCACAGCACCACTTCAGGCTCAGTCTGAAACTCAGCCTCAACAAGGACATCACTGAGCCTTGCTCCATCTTTGCGCAGACCCTCTGTCAATGCCATCTGTGCCAACAGCTGTTCCTGTGACACTGTGGTTGGCAAGAGCATCTTAATGCTGGCCTAATGCCTCACTTTCCCTTGTACATACAAACATCCTCTACTTCACCTGGGTACACTTCACACAAATGAAGGCTGATAAGTACTAAGTTTCCACAGCTACATTACTGTCATTCTCATTCATAACAGAAAATGTAAACAGTGATCCTTACCTTAGCTTGTCTAAAACATCCAACAGCTGAAGGCCTGGGAGAGCAAAACAATGGATACATTTGCATTATTAATTACTTGGCACTGATCTATATTGATATTTATATAAAGTTATGCTTATAAACACTTTTTTTGCAGAGAGAAAAAGTCAAAATATCTTCAGGTGAATCTGTCAAATTGGGTAGGGTCATCTGGTAGATGGAGACCCACTGTACAGGTCTGCAGCTGTGTGAATAACTGCAGCATCTGCCTAGTGTTACTGAGGGACACAGGCACTTCTGGGAAATGGTTCACCTCGCTTTGAATCAGACATCTAAAATCACAGTGTGGTCATATGTCCCTTGCTCTCCATGGAGAGGAACGGAGCCCAGGCTCACCAGCTGGGATGTGTACATTACGTGAAATGAATCCTAACAACAGTACATAGGGTCCTGGTATTCAAGTCCTTGGGAAGTATTTCTGAATCTCAGGGCTCAAATGAGTAGACACAGTTTGAAGAGACCTTTTCTCCTCTTATGAGAAGTTTTAACATATAGAAATGTGGCCAGCTCAAGGGATACAGTGCTGCTTGGGTGCCAGAAAGATCAAAGCTATGAGGAAGCATCAAAGTTAAAGAAAGGTTGGTGAAGAGAATGGAGACAAAAAAAAAAAAAAAGGACTCAGACTTTATTTTTTTTTTTTTCTCCCCAGCCTTCTTCAGTCACCTTACAAATACATCTGAAAATAAAACTGCCCTGTGCTTGGCAACTGATTTTCTCCAGAGAAAGTTAGGTGCATCAAAGATTCTTACCTATGAACTCATTTCTGATTTGCGTCCTTGTTCTTAGCTCTTCTTTCCCCAGTATGATGGCGTTGATAGCACTCAGCAGTGTCACCATGTAGGGCACGTTGTCTGTGTTGGAGAGCTCATTCATGATGACACTGAATCGATACTGCTGGTTCTTCACACTCTGTTAATAACACAAGTGATATTTCCGTTTAGACAGTTCAGAAAGTGCAGGCTCTTGGATACAAACTAGCATCTTAAAACCTCTCAATTTATCCCATTGTATCTACGTGTCAAAGCAGCACTCTATCATGGAGAAGGGTCTGGTCAGCAAAGAAAGTCAATGAAACTCCTCTTAGATCCCTTTATGGTTTCTGCTAACTGATGCACCCACCTGGGCTTGTGGCCAGTGAAACCCATGGATGTGCCACCATCTATTTTGCTAATCTTGTAGCGCTTTTCCTGCCAGGAAGGACCTCATGGTTGGCAGTTGTCTGTCTCAGTAAGTTGGAGAGCAGGACTGTGGACTAGGCAAAATTTCCTACAATTTCACCTCATAAATCCTTGCCCCTCTTACCAAAATCATGCAAATTGACCTTAATTCCCAGCACCATTCTTTGGGACACGGATCTACCTGCTTGGATTATTGCAGAGCAGTCCCTCCTGCTGCAGCCCAACACTTGCCTTGTAATGGTCCAGGGCATCCAATGCCAAAGCGTGGCCATCTGATGAGTAAATGCACAGTGCAGCCAGGAGCTCAAACACTTGCTTTTTGACCATGACATTAGTTGTGTCAAGTGCTGGAAGAAAAACAAAACAAAATAAAAAAGGATTTATAATGACATATTAATGTCCTGAACTTCAGTGTCTTCTGCTACATGGCTTATGACCAGTGGTAGAAAAAAGACTGAAAGACTGTACCCAGTACATGGAAGACGGGAAGAGAAATATCTCAATTTATATTTATCTTATCCCAGTAGCAATATGTGGTAGTAACTTCTAGTGGGAACAGTAAATGCTAGTTCAGGTACCCTACTGGCATTTCAGTGCTGCTTGTAGTTGTTCATCTCTTCCAAGTACCAGTGGTGCACTACAACAGCAGCCAAGGTCTCAGAACTTGCAATCACATATTTTATTTCCTATTTTCCCATATGGGCATTTTCTAGAGGAGCAGATGAACCATTTTCCTCAGTTAACGAGTCTTACTTTTACTGTAGAAACACTCACTATGCATACCAAGTAGGCCACTGGTTCTAACCAGTCCTCATGTATTACTTTTTTTTTCATTATTTCTCTGTGAGCCCTGGGAGCTGGAAGGGAGTGGATTGGGCCCTCTTATTTTTCCTTTATTAGTGCAGAAAGAAGCTCGACCACTGTAAAGCCCAGAGTAGCCTCCTGTTTTTCACAGAACAAAAGTGCCAGCTCTGTTTTTCCTGCTGGTTAAGAAAATACAGGGTGGAGAGAAAGGAAGAGGACTTCAGAATTGAAGAGGAGGGCAAGATAGCTTTCAGACTAAATACATTTTAAAGAGCTATTAATAAGGGATTCTGGACACAGCAGTGATCTCAGCTAGGTGGGGCAGCACAGAAGTTGTCCTCCCAGCACCATCATAATTAAGTGCTATACAATAAGTCCTAGGAGATGCCCTGACAAGTTTCATACCTAATAACAAGCCAAGTGAATGGCAGCAGAA